AGTACTCATGTGATAATGTAACGGATAATCGATACTCAGTATCCACTTATAATAAGAGAAGATTAATCCTTGTTCGAAAACTCTTTCTATCTCAAGTTAAGTTGTACAGAGCTTCTAGTTTTCCAAAGAACAATATATAATAATGCAGATTATATATATAATCTTCATTTGTTCTACTATTCTAGTCCAATAGCATCTAGGCAGAGCAATTTCGACGCGCTTGAACTGCACGAAAAACTTGTTGCGCTTCACCTTCATCAACAAGCAAAAGAACGTTTAACATCTAGAGATTCAGGGTTAGCTAAAAGTTCAATACATTCATCTTCAGCTACACCGAATAATGAAAATGGACATACAGTCTCGAGTAATCATGATCAAGTATGTTTGTTATTTTTCAGTTAACTTACGAATCATGGCATTTTAATAAAAGTGAAACAGTAGACAACTGAAACTTCTTACAATTTACTTTCTTATTGATTGTGACATAATTAATTACTTATATAAGTAACAAAAACTTCAAACACATATTTTTGTACTTGGATTAATAGTCAGTAAATGAAAATATATGTTTGTTAGATAAGTTATTTCATACAAATTGTATTAAGTGAATAAAGTGTTTTGAATTTACGGTTAGCGTACATTTTTCACTTTTTATGAAAATGATGTACACCATAATCTTGTCACTGTTATTATCAGGGAGGATCATTTCTCCTAAACAACTGATAAAGTGTCCAGTTAGTCATGAAAAACATAGAACTTGATACATATATGTGCATCAGTCCAAGCTAGTACACGAAATCAGCACAGAAAGATGAAGTTATCAAGACAAGCATTATAATAGTAAAAGTAGTAAGAGAATCGTTATCAGCAGAAAAGATTATTCATAAACAATATGATTCTAAAAAAAGAACGAATCCGCAAAATAAAAATTATCAAATAACTTTTAAACTCAAGATCTAAAGAAGGACAAAGAGTGCATAAATCTGTTCGATTGTGGCCAATTATGTGCCATATCATTCAACGTCTCCAACCATTATTGGTTATGATAATCACGGGGATCCCAATCAGGTAGTTTGAAATTTTAGTGTTACCACTAAAATTTATGATAAAAAGTTTTGTTGGCGGCAGATATGGGTACATTTATTTTGATTTATGTGGTTCACATGCATGTAAATGGCAAAAAGATGACAATAAAGTTTTTAATATGTAGTTCTTCATTGTTAACATCACTACTGCTATTCTTGACAGTGGATTTTAAATACTTGTATATAATCTTATGTATTCAATTCCTTAAAAGAAACAATATTCTACCAGGATAGATAGCAAAATACTAAGAAATAGTTTATACACTACCAGTTAATTGGATTTCAGGTAATTTTTAGAAAATTATAATATTCGTTGAATCCAAAGTTTAAATTTTTTGTTTGAATGCTTTTTCAACATGATTAATTAATTAAAAGTCATTTCATCCAAAATTATTCTAATTATGTCTATATTAAATTCTTTTTGTTAAAATGCATAGTTTGAATAATCCATTATCTGTAGCTTTGTATATGATGTGTACCTCTTGTTATTGTTAATCAAATTTCTCTTCTTATCATTCTGTCGTCTACATATTTTTTTGTCTCAATATTTTCTATTTGTATTTTATTTACATAGAATTTAGGTGACATTCGATCGATAGATTACCAAAATCATGTACCAATTTCAAATGAAGTACAAGCCTGTGCTGAGCATATTACACAGGTTCAATTGCATCAACGTGCAGATCAAACGCAAGATCGTATGTTTAATTTATACTTTTCTCGTATTTCATCAAATGACTTAATTAAACTTTCTTTAAATAAATTTTTAATTATTTCAATCCATTACAGTAAATTGATTATAAATAAAATGTTTTATTAATTATCAACCTCATTCATTTTCGAGTATATTCCTCCTATATGCATTGGTCACCAAAATATCGACGTTTATGTACCGATTATTCAGTGATGTGTGTAAACACTTAGAACGTTGTAGTCATTTACTCGATAATTAGCATAAATCATATTTAATCAGCAGTGTATACACTTGCCGCTCAACCATTTGGTAATTGATCTTAACAAATAGAATATATCAGTTATCCGCTTATGATACATGTAGCTCTTAGTTCAATACATTTGAATTTGAATAGTTTATTGTTCTGTCTACTTTGTCTGCCATGTATTACACCATTGGTGCAAATATGGTTCAATTACTTTTATTCAAAAGTCGATTACTATATCTCAGCATTGTGTCTTACGAAATTTTAATGATAATGCTTACTCAGTAATTCTTCAGCGACATTTATCCGTACACAGAACTATTATAATTCAATAAATTTCATTGATCATATGTACTTGCTTACTGATAATGACTTTGTAAATAATAGTGGTCAAGAACGCACATAAAATATTTTTCAAGTGACCTACATAAAAATTTAGTCACAGATTTAAAACCATCGTTATCGTTGGTATTCACACGTATAAATCTTATAGCCTAGATCATAAAATTGGGTAATAATTATTGAGTTGAATTAATAATACATATGTATTAATGGGTGATGTACTTTTCCAAAACTGTGACCATATATTTCTGGTTAGTAACATTAGTTATATTTGATGCAAATATTGTACAAATTGTTGTAAAACAGGTTATCCTCAAATCATCTATTAATACCTAAAATACTTGCAGATGATTTTGTGTTCAGGCGTTACTGATTAGCACAAATCAGAAAGCTGATTTCCTCCCACCCCCATTAGATGAGCTAAAATATCAAACTATGGAGAATTTCACGTCTTGGTTTAGTCAACTAGCTGTTTGAAATATTAATTACTAGAGGTGTTGTAGCGTTGTTATATTCAAATGTATAAAGTAAGTTAAGTCGGTAATGATACATAAATCACTTTTTTTCTGTAACAGTACAGCAATAATTGGTTTACACAAAACCTACCAGCTGACTGCTCACAAACAACTACACGGGTTTTCATTAATTTTACTTAATTAAATATATTTTAAATGATATGTACTCTTTGTATACATCAGTAAAGTTATGACACCTATTTCATTACAGCATTGTTACGGAATTGAAAAATGTAACAGTTTATTTTTCATTAATTAATCACAGCCCCAACTCCATGTCCTGTATCAGTTGGTTTATCTGATATCGATGGGACAAAAGAGAATCAAGATCCAGGGAAACAACAAAAAGTTAAAAATGATCCGAACAGTGCACTTTTTCTGGATGTCAGTTCACTTGCTCCTCGTAATTCATATTGTGCTTTATGTGATACGCATGATTATCTACATCAAATTCATTTACCAGCTTATTTAATCTCTCCCTGCTATCATTGCCGTGAGTTTCTTGCAAATGAAGCTAAAATCACTCCTGAAATTCTCCTAGACTTACATTTACAAGTAAGTAATTTTAATTATTAATTTATATCACTCACTCAATCGTTAGTAATATGTAGTGATTAAATTATATTAGTTTACAACTAATTGTTATATCTGTTATAATGCTATGTTAATCAATATAGAATTCGTCCAACTGTTTATACGAGCATTCAGGGGTGATCAAATTATCTTTTTAGAATAGATATCATTTGGTTTTAGTATTACTTTTTGCATGGTGCTATAAATGTCCTTCGAATAACTCTTCTAGCCTTTTTTGGAGTATCAATGATCGTTTAACTTAATGACTCGATATGATACACAGTATAAGAATGTTATGAAAGCTCTATTCAACGGCTTACATATTTTGTATGCCTTTTTACACACTGAAGTTTAGGAATAAATATTAAATTGAAAATTTTCTTGTATGACCCATCCATAAAATTTCCTTTTTTTATGTAGCATAACATTCCTTGGCCAGGATTCCTGCAAGCTAGATTTGGTATCCCTAATGATGGTCGGTCAACTGAAGAACTAATTGCTTATGACTGCCGTTGGCGGAGCAGACAACCTTGTCGATGTTTAGCTTCTGTAGATGGTTCCTTATTACCACCCTGTGTCGAATTTCCATGGTTAACTCCCACAGTTTCGACAGGTTCATTCGAAGTTACTGATATATCAGCAAATCAAAGCAAATTAGACAAACAAGATTTATTGAATACACAAGTAGTTGCAGAGATTTCTTCACCCACCACTACAGATCCGCGTACTTCTGATTTTTCTGCAACGACACGTAAGCTATTTGATTTTATTAATAATTATGCATTTAACTTAATTTATGCTACATGAAGCAATCTCAAATATGTATTTTTTTATTACAGAAGCACAAACTAATGCAGCAAATCAATCGTTGCCTACCCCCGCCACAACCTCGGTGAGTACAAGTAACACGTCAGTTGCGGGAAATACTAATACATGTTTAAAATCAATTCTGCCATGTTCAAATAGGCATATTCGCGGTGCTCCCATTACCTGCTGTCATGGCATACATTTTCCTTTAGTTGGCATACCAACCGTGTCAACTTCATCTACCAATCAAAATACAGATACTGGCTGTATCCCGTCTATTGATTCTTTTAATCCACAATCAACGACCGATAGAGGATCAGTTGTTATAACTCAAGAGATGCAACAAGCAGCACCGTTAACAAACGACGTATCATCTTAATATTGTAATTTTTATTATTATCATTATCCACAATCATTTCGTAAATGTGATTCGAAAATTGTGCAATATACAATTGTGTGCATATATAGCTACCTATCTTTTGAATAGTAACAATCTCAGAATCTCATTATAAAATAATCTTAAAATCTAGCACACATCTCTACTATAATTACGGCACTAGTCTTTGTAATACTGTCAAACATTATTTGCCTTTCAAAACAAAAAAAAGATGGAAATAAATTGTTACCTATAGTTAACTGTAATTTTGTGGTTTATACTTTTTTAATTAATTTTTTCGTCGCTTTAGCTATACACTTATTTGTATTGTCAATATATATTACACAACATAAGACGTATCAGATGCCGTTTGCAGTATCTATTTTCGAAATAAAGAAAAACAATTTGATAACAAATAAAAGTAAACAGATAAAAATTGTTCGTAAAAACAACTCAGAGTATACCGGATGCATAAAAGTCCATGCATGATAATACTATTAATGCGATGATAGTCCATTTGATGTGGAGTTGGGTCTATACGAATATATAGTTTTTATAAAGTTGGCAATTTCTATCGAAAATATGTCTTGTTTTTCAATCGAGATATGGTAGAAGCTCTCAACTTCCGTACTTTTTTCAATGATTTATCCCGAATGGTTGATAAATTCGTTTGTGACAGACTAGGATGTCGCAAACTAAGGCATATTTCTAGATTATAAATAGCCACAATAAATAAACATTTAAAAAAACTATTCAAAATTAATAATCAAATATATACAAATAAGGCAGGCAATTATGACTAATAAGTTAGGAATTCTATCCAATAGGTAATTTCTGTATGCAATATGAAAAACTTGTCAATTAATGTTTCGGATGCGTTTTTGTTTTTCTAAATGCAAAATGTTGCTTCAGGATCAGTTTGCTTCAAAGTTTTTACTAGTGATAAGGTGTAAAGTGGTTGAGCCCTCGATCACGCCATTTGCTTTGCAAGTTTCATCAGTCCTGGTGTTTTAGTGTCCGACAAGAGCTCTATTGGTTTTTACCAACTTGTGGTTTTGACGAGATATCTATTTACCTACCAACCATAGAACAGTTCTAATGTTCAGCAGTTCGCTCTATTTTACTAAAGGGCTGTGAAACAACCCTTAGAGATAGAGGATATTCGGAGGTTACTAATATCAGACCACAGATCTTTTCGAATCCTTGCCGAGGTCATCGAGTAAGCACTTTTGAGGTTAGACACATGGCACTGGGTAAGAATGGAGAATCAGTTGATGAAATAGTGAATATTTGTCGACTGAAGTAGTCGGGCCGTGCTTGATGTATACCCTAACTTCGCATACCTTAACCCTCGATGTCTGGTGGTGTAGAAGTTGGAAGAATGCTAAAGGCAGTCTAACTAAGACGTAGCATCAGTCCAGTCACTGACAGTTGAATCGAGCCTTATAAGCTAGTTATGGACTACTGGGTTGGAGACGTTAAGTGATATAACGAAGAATCACTCACATGGCACAAATAGGTTTTCTCCAAATACCTCTTATTTAAGATTACTTGTACTTTTCATCCTAAAAATTCATTATTTCTTTTCTAATCATACTTTGAAGGCCTAATTTTTCACACCGTCACTACATCTATAGCATTTGTCTTAATAGTTTCATATAGCTGTGCCAATATGATGTGGTAACTTGAACTGGTGCACATATGACAGGTTCTACAATGCACATGACTAACCGACTTTTCCTTTTTGAACTTCTCGACCCTAACTAATTTGGTTCAACAGTAATCATTCTCAGACGGATATGAGCTACATTGTGAAGTGACATTTTTTTGTTGAAGTCCTATATTAAACAAGTTGGATGCAGATTGATGAAACTAGAATCAACAAATTTAGGTTTGAGTACGAAGTATAATCAAACGTAATAGGGTATGAAGAATTAAGGTCTAGCACTCAGATGATCGGTGATGGTAACTCCCTCAACTACAAAAACAGGACGGTTACGAAAATAATACTTATACTGTCTCTTTTCATTTGAGCCTAACTTATAATTATAAATATAATATTTTATCTATAAAAATCTGTGATGTTCTTAAAGCTAATAATGAATTGTCATTTTTATCTGGTAAATTAGTTTTTTTTATAAGCCATTCATAGATGAAGAAATAACCAATCTTGTTAATGATGACAGTTTAACAGCATATAGGAGCTTAGATATCAAGCCAATGTGTAATATCTTTTTGTTTGTGCAAATACAATCCTAATCCTGGATTTCCCTTTTTCTTGGTAAGATATATTCTACGTAACTTTTCTTCATAGGAGTTGTAGATTATAACTTTTTCCGATATTTGAAGATAATGGAATCTAGATCGTAGTATCAACCATCTAAAGGTATTTATAACTATCAAAAATCCCCCTACATTAACTGTGACTAACACCATGAGTTTGAAAAATACTTTGATGGACTGAATTTATTAATGACAGAAACTTACGTTTGAATTTACTTTCGAGGGTTCTTCGGCTAGATGATCTTGCTCGATGCCTACAAAAAACAAAACGTATACACTAACAAATGTTACTGCAAATACTAAGCATTAGATTGAAAATGTCAAACTACTTGATTTTTTATTGATCAGTTAGTAACAATTATATGATAATACTGGATCATAAGTAGAATATTTTTATCAAGTTAAAAAAGTAATTTGGCGACCGTTTGAAATAAATAAAATTATATGAACGAAGAATATTCTTTTCTACAATTATATATCCAAATTACTAACCCCGTAAAATTGGCCACGTTTAAGGCAGAGTACATCATGCTATAACTTTAAATGATGTACTCTGCCTTAAACCTGGCCAATTTTATGGATTAATAATTTAGCTATATAATTGTAGAACCTGATGAGAAATTATTGAAGAAAATATTCTTCGTTCATATAGTCGTGTTTTAATATAATGGGAATTTTTCAGCTATTAAAATGAGTAGTTGGTTTACGATGTGAAACGTATTCGAATCGCCACCCACTTCCAAAATCGTGTACGAATGAATGTGCTCGCAACATACAGAAACTGTCTGTTGGGTAGTAACCTAGGGATTGTCTAACGCGAGTACGTTATCTGTGAAGTTCTTAAATTCGTCTTTTAAAACATATTTTAAGATTTTGGAATGAACACGTGGTTGCAGATATACTTTCTGATAGGTGTCAACAAGTATGAAAGGACTTGAAGAGTATAAAATAAATCACTGAATGTGTTAAACACGAAATAGTTTACAATGGTTTTTGAGCTGTCATTAACGTAAGTATAGCAAAACTTGGAAGATTATTTTCCCTATGGGATTAGGACCTGCAACACTAGATTTTGTGATCAGAAACGTTGCCACTGAAGTACTCAACTTATCGGGAGCCTACTGGACGCTTATTTCTTAGTACTAATTAAGTCATGTCAATCATATTCAAATATGGCCGATAGACAGGTAAAATCGACATTGCGATTAAAAATTACTACAGAACAATATGAAGTTTACATCCAGGATTTTCTAAGTATCTCTAACAACCTGATACCAAACACAGTGCATTACAATGTAGATTCACCCAGTCCATTGATCACATTGTGTTCTAATTTACTGGATTTAGCCGTTAAAGTTCAGACAAAATGACAACTGATTACTACAATAAATCATTAATATTCATTTAGAGCTTTTCTTATTATAATAAACAAACACATACTTTGGTTTGAAATCCCCAGTGGATTCTGAAAGTTCAGCTCTTTTGTCAACCACACACAATAAGTCAGCAATTAGTTCTTCTTCACGAGCTTTTTCTTCTTTAGTCTTTAGAATGTCTACACAAAAAGTATACAATAAAGGTGTATTATAATGAAACATAAAGTCACAATTCGTTTTCATTACCTTCTCACGAATAACACTAAAATTTATATGTATCAGGTGCAAGCTTATGCGAATCTAATGAGCCTATTATTATCACATAGCATGCAAATTTTATTTGAGAAAAAATTCTGAATATTTTTATGCACACCCATAAATTATGTGTTTATGAACTTAGCGATTTCTAACACTGAAAATTCTGATTTATTTGTAATATCCCAGTGAGTAGAGAATTAAATTTCTCACGTTTCGTAACCTAATGTAAGCTGCTTCTTGAAAGTAAGTATAATATAATATTAGTTAGCTTTAGTTATAAAATGCTTTACTGATTATTCACTTCATTTTATGTATACAATCCATTACAAAGATATAGAATTAAATAAATAGTATTTAGATTTTTGTAAACGCTACATTTCAACTATGTACAAGTTTGTGGACAAGGTCTTGAAACTTGATAATTCTGTCAAGCTGTCAGGACTGTATATCAAGTGAATGAAAGCTTGAAACAGAAACATAATAGTTTAATATTTATAAATTAGCTCACTGAAATACAAGTAATCATTAAAAACTTTCAGATCACAATTATAACCATTAGTTTTATTTATGGACCTTTAAAGATATGAATCTGAACTATACGTGAGGAGATAAAATATATTTTTGATATCTCTTAGTAAAATGAATATTACAAATTTCAGATACTACTATGTGATATAATACACAACCAGTCTTATCTGACTGACTGAATTTATTTGCTTTATTTTATGATATGTAAACCAATACCCAATGAAGCATGTTTAATTCATGAGAACACCTTCAGTTTTTTTTTAATTTCAATCTACTTATATATATATATGTAATTTTTATTTCAATGAGTTATTTATAACAGAAAACTCATACTAGTTTGGTAGTGTTTACTTAGAATTGTCACTTTATTTTACTGTAAAAATATTGTGCTTCACAAAAATCTGATAACTAATACTATTATTTTGTCTATAAATTTGTTAGTATTGTGCGCAAGCAAATGGAGTAGTGAAAACAAATGATAAATGTAGATTTGCTATTTTGAGTAAAACAATTTTTTCATTCTTATCTTAAGACTCATTATATTTATTCATTGTTTGATATCCTTTCTATCCGGAAAGTTAATTGTATATGATTTATAGATTAGGTAGTAATCAATTTTATCTTGACAAGAAAAAAAACAGACATCTTACTTCGTTGAAGCAGAAACATAAAAAATGACCAAACAAATGAAAGCTTTACCAATATAATGATTATATAATAAAGGAATTCAACGAAACTAGAAGTATACACTTGTTTACCACTTTCTAATATTCAATTGTTCTGTAGTTGAAATCATTTTGTGACGAAAATTATCTCTTAAAAAATGAATTGTTTTAAAGTATCATACTTTTAAATGATACAAGAGAAAAAATTGAAAGTACGGAAAGAACTATAAAAGTATAGATCCCAATATTTAAAAACATATGCACAAAAGGGTTTGGTGCTTAACTATATTACCTAGAATACGAAACTGTTGGTTTTGTGGTTGTAAAAAAATTCAATTGTTACGACTTTATCTCATACTTATGATTAGCAGAATTATGCTGTTCTTTTCATCTTATTATTGCATATTGCAGAGAACAGTGACTAAACATACACAACTTATCTTAATTATCTGTTCAAATGAAGATTCACAAACTTAACAGATGGTCACAATTGTCTATTCCATTATTATGTATAGGTTTATGTACTTGGATCTGAGGAATATTATTTATGAAAGGGCTAGTGATACGGATCAGTCGGTTAAACTAAATTATATGGAACTGGATTCAAACTTTCAACCACCTGGTGATTGAAAGTCTAGTTATCCAACAACTAACTCATAGGTTCTTTACTACATTCTCCTTTGACTGTACAATATAAAATCACTACACATATAACAAGACCGAAAATGAGGTTGAAAACAATGAAATCGATACGCGCGTTATAATAAAAGTATACTTCATTAGCAGTTTATTTATCATTAATTTTGGAATAATACTCAATATTACAACAATGAAGAAACCAGAACCGTGAGAAAATAACAGAATCTAATACTTTTGTTTTGAATTTGGGTGGTAGTTTCAGAATACAAATTAATAACCAATACGTAACTTATGTTGCCGATTTTATTATTCTAAATAACTCATGTATCGTCCTTCCTTAGTATTTTATAGAATATTCACCTAGTCATTCCGTTTATAAATAAACTTACAAACATTATTTTTCACTTAAAGTATCCCATACACTTGTTGTAATTAGATAATATTATGTCATCTTGGAATTTAATAGGTATTGATTAAAATTGACAAGGAACCACATGATTAATTCAATTCATACTATCCTTGTTCAATTATTCTTGAGTTGCTTAAACAGTTATTACAAGTGACACAATACTAAAATACGTTCAAAATAAAATTGAAGATTAGACATAAAATTAGTTATAACTGAAAACTGAAAAATGATAATTACCCTATGTAAGTTAAAATATGTGCTTAGTAAGAGTTCGATCAGTAGTTTAGTAGTGAATGAAATAAACTGTTTTTCGAAAAGAAATGGTAACCTATGTAAATGATTTCGACTTTACGCTATGCGTTTCTACATAATTGCAGACTATTACATTGACGAGGGTTCTACTTTTTAATTCAAGCAGCATTTAAAAGATCCTATCGTTAAGACTCACACTATGAACAAAAAAGCTGAAAACCATGTTAAATAATAGGGCAGGAAGATCTAACCAAACATTAGAATATCTAAAAAAAACACGATAAGATACATGTAAAATCTAAAAAACTATAAATACAAATACCAATTTACGTACACTTAATTTTCCGAACATGAAGCTAAAATTGTTATAAGATCTCTATCACCGAAATGTGATAACAGTAAAAGAGATTTGATTAGGCATGCAGTACAGGATACTTTTCTAATATAAAGATTCCCACCTTGTTTGGCCATTAGCGTTCGTAGTTCATATTCTAAATCAGCATGACGATCCTCTAGCTCTTGACAACGAAGCCTGTCGACATAAATTAAAGTTAGAGATACGTTGAGCTTTATATATAAATATTAAACAAAAAAGTTGACCATTACTGACCAAAGTTCAAATGAATGAGAAAATGGTGGATAAATTACCGGAAACGCATATGTACATTTCTTTTATGCTATACAAGTTTTAAATTCAGAATCGAATAGACAACAATCGTATATCAAAACAGTAGGTCTGCTGTTTGAAATCAAATGAATAAAAGCCGTTTCAAGTGCATTAGGTTATTACTCCCTTGATCAAACAGAATATATTGGAAAAAGTATAAATGAATGTTACACAAACTTGGATAGATAAGCCAAGTTTCAAACAGAGGGCTAACTGATTAAAAGTTGTGTATCTAAACTGGATATGGAGTGACCACTTAATGGCTAAAGAACTCAGTTTTCAACAACTAAGTTGTAATTTAAGAGTATGTTCTATCTATTTCAGTTTCGGAGTTATATCACTCTGCTACCGTACAAAATGTGTCGCTGTCAGTGTAGTGAATAAACTTGCACTTTTTTATAGAGTTACGATAAAACAAATAGATAAAACGACTTTGAAAATGTCATTCAAGTAGTAGATAACAAAATATAGCTCTCAGAATATTTTGTAAATAGCTTCAATTCTTCTTCACTAGACACTTTTGTATACAATATCACTGATCAGATGAAATTCCCATATAATGCTTAACATTATAACACAATTAGTCAAAATAATTAAACATATATGAATGACATCTCCCTAATTCAAATATCAGTTATCACAAGTTATGTTTTTTAACTTCATGTTGTAAAAGACAATAAGACGAAATTCGGGGGGAATACACTATTGATGGAAGGCATGTATAAAGAATTTACAGTGACGATTGCTACAGACACTGCCAACGTTTAGCATAAATACTATCTTTTAAAATGAATATCCTGAAAAATTCGACAGAAATGTAGAACACTGAATGTATTCACTTCTCAATTCCTTATAAAACCGCTAAGGGATTCGAAGCTCGTACAAAATACTATCCTTATTATACATGTTGTATGAGAATTTAGTTTATATATGATGACTGAAGTCCATTGTTACTTTTTGTACATACTACACAACACATGAAATATAAAGTACCTCCGAAGGACTTGCATTGCCTTCTTTTGGATTTACTGATAACAGTGAAGTTTTAGAATTAGTCGAGAAATTTAGGTGTTTGTGTTATTGCACAGGTGCCGAAACTGGTGGAGCAGAGGAGAGTAATATAAGCACAGAGGGAAACAGTATAGTATATGCCATAGTGGGTCACTTTAGATGTCATTAAAATAGCAACCTGCCTGTAGAAAGTGGGGTTTACAACGCTGTTATGCAAGCACTTTCGTTATGTACATCTAAAGCCACCTACGCAAACTTAGATTTTTGATAGTAATAAGCGTTCGATCATTCCTGTTTACATAATGACAGCAGCAGTTGACATCAAAACTACTTAAATATTATTGAGATCCTTAAGTATGTACGGAAGCATAATTAAAGTAAGTTAACGCTAAGACTGATTGCAGCAAACAAAAGGTTGTCAGTTTATTATATGTTGGCGTGTAATAAATAAAATTTCTGCTGAGTATCTGTCGGTAAATTACACTGCCTTAAAAAAATGGCAAAAACCACGTGGATGAGTGACCACAGCCACCATTTGTTGTAAGCGATATTGATTCTACTCATATTGCTTTCTTTGATCGTTATGATTATGAAGATGATATCACTTTTACTTCTTACATTTCTTTCAGGGACTGGTTATTCCTTTTTGTGAGGTATTTTGTGGTACTCAAATGCACTTCCCTAACAATCTATTTACATGCAAATATGAAAATTTATCATGAAATATAAGGGCAAAAAATTAGGCAGCAACATTCAATAAAGGAAATACCTTTGAAGTAACTCTGATTCCTTTTTGAAGAGATTATCCTTTAATTCAACGGTATGGAGCCACTTTTTCAATAGTCTCTTGACGCTTTCATTATTTTCAGACACTAATGTACGCAAAAAATTCGTAACTCTGATGAAACATCTCTATAAAAGAGTTAGCTTAAAGTTTAAAGAAACCGCATGAAAATTCCTAGGTAAAGGATAGGGTACATGCCAAAGTCTAAAAATCTAGAAACACGCTAACTACTACAAAAACAAAAACCTGAGCAGAAAATAAGCCTCGAAGAGAAACCATTAGAGTATTCAAAACCTTTTAGTCTACATTTGAAACATGATTTTCAGCGAATGACAACAGACAATCAAAATATACTTGTTTCTTGTCAACCTACGAAGTTAAACTAGATAGGAAAGCGATGAGGAAAAACTGCTTTAAGAGCAAGTTAACTGGATGCAGCTGAACCACATAAATTAAACTACCACACTAACAAGTAAACCTTTAGTGGTCTATCTGTTTACTATCAAACGATTGCAACAGTTTAAATTTCAGGTGTTATGGATAGACCTGAATGTTATTTAATAATAAAGTGCATCGTGGTTTCGTGAAGTATTTATTGAAAAAGCATAAGCAATAACTAAAAGACAAAATGTAAAGTGCAGTTGAACTTGATTAGACGTACCCGTTTCCAACAATAAAATTTATATAAACGACAAAAAACTTTAGTTTGAAATGTTTTTCAGATGTACTTTGCATTAAGGAATCTTGGTTAACTAACAGTAACTCAGGGTGAAATGAAAACTATATAGGAAGGACAGAATAACCTACATTATTTCCAGATAGTTTCAAAAAATGCGTTTGATTTATATCGTGCACTTAAGGAGTTCATTAGTCGTGCAGTGATAAGAAAGTGCCTTACATAATTCTGTCCTACTTGCACAGTGCTGGTTCTAAACATATAATTTTAGTCTACCAACAATTAGATGTGGCTGAGTGCAGAAGCGTTCGGCTATGGTGTGAATCAAAACTTTTATTTAACACATCAAAGAACTTATTTTGGTGAGGCGACAGTGCAAGATAAATATTAGAAAGCAACTTCAATTACAGTAACTGTGATCCTCTACAATATGTACTATTTTCACTTTCGAGATCATAAGGCACAGGATTTAGTTTTAGGTATATATTTAATATTATATGAAAGTGAAAACTATGACCACGTCTATAAAAAGAGTATCTTACTTACTTTCTTTAATACTTGTTTGAATTTTGCGAGCAGATAGTTCCAGATTGGAAAGTTCATTGTTTATATCATATAGTTGTCTGTGTAATTCAGTGTATGGAATGAAGTCGCTTTGCTGATCGCGTCTGACATCACGTCGGCATAAAACAGGAATAGGTGGGGCAGGCCCTTTGGTGTTAACTGACCTACTTATCTTTGCATTTGATTCATTAAGAGGAGATTTTGAGGACTGCTTTGCATCACTGCTTAGTGAAGAGGACTGTGCTTTATTCAGACTACCATAAGCGAGTAAACTCGATAAATCATATATAGAAGAGTGAGCAGTCCGAAGATTGACTGATTCATCTGCGACTAATTTTTCCATGGAAAAATTTTGGTTACTCTGTTCCATGTACTTGTTTATATGGTTACTAGGCGTGGATACCAGAGATGGAGGGTTTGATATACTTAATATGTCTGAGTGGTCAGAATCTGAAATATTATTAATCTCTTCCGAGTCTAAGGATGATAAATCGTCATCAAATGGATTGTAAGGCTTATAGGTGCATTCATGCTGAGAGTTGGGATCACGCAAAGAGTCATCTTCGAACGGATTTAAAGCAGCAGGATAAGAAACGATGTTATGGTGTTTGGAATTAGAGTTATTTTTACGCTGTTCTATGTCAGCTGATATTTTAGCTTTTATCTTCAAAACACTATTCAGTTCAGGAGACGCATTATTACTTAAAACATCAGGAAGTGGCGGTCTAGAAGGAGGTTTGCATGTTGGTTGACTTTTTCCATTGCTAACAGTGTCCAATTCATTTTGTGGACTGAATCTTATTGGGAAGGGATCCGCTACTAGAAGTGAAGATGAAGAGAAGACAAATAGATCTCGTTTACCTGAGAATTTAGTCAGTGGTGGACCATCAGAACAGTTGGAACCCTTTAGTGTTTTATTTCGCTCTTTGAGATAAGTTAACTGGTTGTCACGAAAACAACTACGATGGTAGTTCCTACTGAAAACAGTCAGCTGCTCGACACGAAATATAGTTTCCCCACAAAGGTCACATATAAGAAGTCCCTCCTCCTGTTCACACTAAAAACGTATTATATGAGATTTGCAAGGGCATACCAAATATGATAAGTTTTTATCTAAAAGCTTATCTGAACCTAATTGACCTGGATATTTAGAAACAGATTTAGTCATGTATTACCTGAATTTCTTGTTAATGCCCCATACAACTTAGAAACGTATTCAAATATTATCTTTTCATCTACATCTTCTAATACTATGACTTGTGGTCTTGTAGGCACCGGTATATTCAATTTTGTTTCTGCAACAAAAAACGCCTAAAATATATCATCATACATAAAGGATATACAATAACCAACCAACTTAAGGTTTGTTACAGCATCTTCAGACTTCAAGTGCGAAAAATCTCTTTAAAAAGTGAGATGTAATTTTACTGCCCTGTTCAACCTACATTAGATCAGGGAAATGTTTGTGAATTAAGGCACAAAACGCCAGACCATCTTTCCATGATGATGTGAAATCAGTGATATTAATATGTGGGTACGTTTTGGTTTGTTCAATGCACCAATTCAGAAGACACTGAGAAGAGTTATCCTCCATTCCCCCCAGTCGCCACTAAAGTTACAAAAGTGACCAACACTTAAGTTCATCGACTATTAGTGCATTTAAAGCGTCTAATTCTCAATGTCTTTGCAGCTAGTTCGAATAAAATAAGTTTAAGAAAATGATTTGGTTATACCTGAGAACGTGTTTGGAAATATTTAAAACTAGTGTACAATTTTCGGAGTATAACCAAACTCAAGTGGTACTGCATCTAAAATGTATGCTTGGCTGTTCATGAGTTTATGAATCTGATCTATACTATCTATTCACACACAAATCAAGGGACAAAGAGAAGCTAGTATACTAGCATTATATGGAGACAGTGATGCCACATTAGCAATAAACATAGCTAAGGGGAAACCAAAGTGTTCTGATAACAATTTTTGTGCACCGCAGAGATGCTTTTCTCTCCGCTAAAGATAAGTCCTCCAACCCGTAATCTGGAAACGGCAATCATTAATGAACTTGATAATTGGTTTGTTAAACTCGGTTTAGGAACAATCGTGAAATTCGGTTAGTTACTGTCGACAGGCAGTACTTCATGTACCTGGACAAAAATTTGTTCCTCTCCGAAAAGCAATTTGTTATCATCCCACGAACGAATTAGTAGGTCCATAAGTCAGATGTGCTCCCAAAGAGTAGAGACTGCCTACAGATGTAGCCTTTATCTGTTTGAGTAGACTTCTGGCAAATTCTCACACAGCAGACTGCTATCTAAAATAAGAGGTATCGGGACTAAATGTAACTTAGATATGTGGATAAGTGATTTTCTATTTGGGCTTCAACAAAGAGTGGAGGTTAACTCCAAATTACCTAGCTAGAAAACTTTCCTTATCGAAGTGCCACATGATAGATTTACGGAATTATTTTTATTCCGTCTGTGTAGAGACGACCTAAGCCTTCCACCGACATCAGTTACGTTATTTGCTGGTGATACTGAGGTATGGAGTGCTGTTAGAAATGAAGGTGATGTTTCTGAGTCTCAGTATGGCTTCAAGAAATTGTCTGAGTAATACTGAACTTGGCAGTTGTTGATGCTTTGTTCCAAGTGAATATTGATGCATACTAACCAACACGGTGCCAAGACATACACGATGAACCGTACCGAGCAACGCGTTCCTAGGACCTACATAGCTTGACGAGCCATTGGTGGTTCAGACTCAAAAACCGTTTCATATTGGTGTGCAATAGCTTCTTAAATTTTTCCAACCTCCTGGTCGATATGAGAAACCTTTATCCATATGGATGTTAAGACCTCTTTCAACTTTTAGTGTCCATTCTACCTAGATTCAAGCACTGGTCACAAAATGACAGCTGTTGCCTGAGGAAAAGTAGGTTTTCGGTTTCCTGTAGCCACATGGCTTCAGTATGATGAGATAATGAATAGACTGAGTCCAAGTGTAGTATCCGCATTAATTGAAACTTATTCTTGCAATCAGAAACAACTACGATCCTGACGACATGAGGTGAAAGGTAAGAGATAAGACTGGCACAAATGAAGTCATCAATCCCCGAAATAGGACAACCGCGTTCGAAAATACACTCATTTATATGTTGACTGAACACCCACTTTGATCATTTTTTAGAAAAAAGTCACTTATACAAAAAGTGCAAGCACGGAAATGTCAAATCTTGAATAAAATTCACGTTAAAATAAGTCAATTTTATACTAAATGGAATATCCCACTGCAAATAGAGCAAAAATACATTGAGTAATAATCATACTCAATTAAAAACGGAAGTAATGTCAAATAAGAATCACTATGAATTAAAAAAGTAACATAGCCATTTCATCCCATCATATTACTACCGAAATCTGTTCGATATTCACTGAACTTCCTGCTGAATGATTCGACCCGGGTTTAGTGAAATTTGACTAGCTCTATGATGAAATGCCGTTTAGGAGTATATTTAGGTATTGAGGTTATTAAGAAATGAAACCAACGAAAATATAAACGAAACACAGCAGTTCATCTGAGCTACTAAATATGACGAAAAATATTACCAAAAACAGTGGGATGACTTGTGTGAATTACATGCTTGTTACTTTGGTAATGAAGGGCTCCTACTTGACCTAATGTTAAAGTAAGGTATGCAGTACTGTAGTGAACTTGTGCAAAATCTCAGTCACAGTCTCACAATACTCAAAGCAAAAATACTATGCTAAAATAAATACTGTTACTAACATGGCAGTGTAAGAATAAGAAAATGGTAAAAAATAACGCTCGTAACCAGTTTTTATGTTAAATTACAAAAGAATAACAGCAGTTTTGTAACTAATGTTACTTGAATGTTTGTTATTAGGTAACCTCCACAAACGCGGTTCACTCACTTATTGAATGCCCTGCGGCACGAGTGGCATGACAACGTAAAGTAAAGTATTAACACGCCAACATTTTCGGGAAGTAACCGAGGCCTACAAACCCGCGTAGCAAACACCGGCACAAATGGTTACTACAATGTGATTATCTTCTTGGATAGAAGTTCGTTGTTATTATAGCTGGTATGGGAGCCTGTAGGCAATATTAACTTGAATACCAGATGGAACAAGTGCATCTGTCTGTTACAAGTGAATTCTGTTTACAGTTGATACGAATGAACAATGAACTTTGAATTTGAATGTGATTACATATAAAACATCATACGAAAACGCAAGATACCATGGTAGTTTGTCACAAAAATTATCAAAGCTATATGTCTCTATATCATTTATGCTAAGATATGTTTGATACACACAGAAATACAAAGAGTAGGTGAAAATAAGTGAATTTTTGATAGAACATTTTTGAAGCTAACTAGAGGTGTTTCAACAGGATGAGATTGTCGTTAAGTATATAAACAGTTCATGTTGTACCCTTTAGAATTAAGCTCATTCAGCTGCTACTAGTCTTCAATGATGTGTATAGAAAAGTGCACTGTACACTTTGATTCCTTCACCAGTACACAGAAATATCATCGTGGATGTAGAGCGTAAATGTTCAAACGATATTCAGCGAATATGCTACTGAACAAGCCTCTACCCCAGAATACGAATTTTAATAAGACGCAACAGTTTCTAAGTTTACTACACCAATAAAACCTCCCTGAGTTTTGTCCCTTACAACAAACCAACGAAGTATATCCGCTCTTAAACCCTAAAATCGGGGGATTATGGGTGATTTTGCTGACGAATCAAATGCAAAATTTGCGGTTATAAATTTATCGGAATTCATTCTAAAAAGGCGATTTTTATTGCGAGCATACGGGGATGGTTTTAGGAACCACGTATTTGCAGTGGCACTTGTTATAAAAGTCTATTACATCTTGATGTATTTGTGATTGACGCCATTTTGCAACAGTAGACGTATGTCGTGCACGGATTACTGACACACTAAGTGCCCTTATAGTTATCCTAGTGATGGCGGTTAAAGCAGCAATACTAACTAAAAGAATTTATACTGGAGTATTCGATGAGCAGTGATTCTTCGTCGGAATTTCAACAGACTTTTTAGACGGATGTAGTAGTTAGGCACTAGGTCTTCTATTATTCACTGCTTTGTCAGGACTGTAGCTTCCAAACTAACCGAGCTTTAAATGTTGAATAACTGTTTATGTCAACTTAGATATGCCCTATCGCTTAGTTGAAACCAAAAAAGGTAATTATGTAAATGATGGTTCTCAGTTTCTTAGAAATTTGAACGTACATTATTACCCAAACAAGTAGTACAGTCAAGTTGTTCAATCAATAAATATTCAGACAGCAGTAAAAGATAAAGTATATTAAATAAACAGATTGATACAGGATATAAGAAAGTCACCAAATGCAACAAATAAATGTTTTCCTATTTTTCCTGGATAAATCATTTACAGACTTTTCAAAAGATAATGCTTAAGTCTTTATAACACGGAGTGTCTGCAATACTTGAGGAGTACTTCAGTTCATAATCAAAAATACAACAAAATCAAAAACGGGAGCAAATCGTTATTGCAGTCATCATAACCAAATATCTACCAAAGCAACATAGATGTGGTTCGGGAAAGACATGGAGATTCAGTGAAGACTTAAGGAAAACAAAATATACGATGAATTACAGATAGCACCATCTTGAATGGAATCAAAAGATTGTAGACTATGAATATAGATGATCTTTGTCAACTGATTGTGGGCCTACTCGACTTTGACCAACTCACTAACGTCCAAGTCATACCTCGCGGTTAACACCTAAGGTGAATCACCCTTTCGCCGTATCCAGGTACTATGGCTGCTTTGATGATAGTACAACACAAACGACGTTATTACAGAAATATATTGGTATGAGCATGTACAAGGAACAGAGCACGGTCACTGCTACGTGGGCTAGTCCATAGTGTGCAATTTACTGATGCGCATTATTTGCCATTGTTCTTGACAAGGATCGACGAACTGTTCAACATTAGCTGACCCAAATGTCTGATGATTTGTCTAAGACTCAGTAATATTTCACTGGTCATACAGGATCAACAAAATGTACATCTGAAAAAATCAGGAAGAATAAATCACAGCACAATATATGTGGAGGGATTTTAATATTTTCTGCTTTCAAAGAAGATCTTACAAGGATCACTGATAATAAGATAGCGTTGAAACACTGCAACGTCCTCCAGATCACAGATAACGCTATTTAATGCATTTTGGAAAGCAGCAGGCAAAAAAGCCAAAACAAATGAGTGAGAGTTTTTCCTCAAAAAAACGAAGTATTAACAGTAATTAAAGTGGTGAAGTTTTTACCGTGAGAATTCATGGATAATAGTCTTTAGAATTAACCATACAAAATAGTTAGGACCTAAAGATCTGTTAATATAACCAGCCTTTATAACAGTTCATATTTCTTTAAACAGACTGGAACTTACTGCCAACTTATAATACCCATAAATCATTGGAGCTTCATCACTGAGTCCAAGAATGTTACGAATATTCAGGGCTCTTCAACGATTTTATTTCAACAACTTTATAATCGAAGGATTCCGAATCCAGTCAAAACGAAATTCTAGATTGAAAGAGTTCGAAGATACATTTGTAAGACATTCGGTAGGTCATGAACTGTGTTATCTAAGCTGACTAGTTATTATGTTAGTTACGTAGCACGGTGTACGCAGTGATGAT